TTTCTTTATTCTCTGTCAGCTGCCGGACTGATCTTTCAAATGCTTTGTTGATATCATCTGTACACTGCTTTTGAACATTGCTCACACGCTCCTTCTGTTCATCAATGAAATCAACATATTTCTGAAAGCAAGATCGTTTCTTTTCCGCCTTGGATTTGAGGACCTCGATATTCTCCATATGGCTGTTTTCATAAACAGCTGCCTCGATGATCCGATGTCCTTCGTCTTTATGCTCCATGACAACACACCTGAAGCAGGCAAATCTCCTGCAGTCGGAACAGAAACACTCCTCATCCTCTTTTGGGTGTTTCCTGCACTTACGGTATCTACGTACTGACACCTTCCCTGATTCGATCTCACTTATGGCTAAGACCTCATGACTGATGAAGTCTCGCCACAGAGAGTGTGTGTTGTGACAAGTGATACAGAGATACTTGTCACAGTCTTGACAGTAGACAACAGCTTGCGTCTTGTCCTCGGATTTACATACCGAGCAAAAGTGATAGTGATTCTTCACGTCCTCTATGAGAGACCTCAAAGCTAGATTTGCCGGTAATTTGCTGACATCTTGGTTTGGTACCTGGGTTTCAGCTCTGCAGACAGGGCAGCGGAGCATCTGGTCGTTACCATGACATTCCAAGAGGTTGTCCAGACAAGCCTTGCAGTAGGTGTGAGAACAAAACAGGATCTTGGGATCGGTGAAGGTATTCAGACAAACAGGACACTCCAGACTCTGAGCAATGACATTCTTTAATGAATCAGCCATGATTCGAATTCTACCGGAATACGTGATAAAAGAAAAAGACAAAAACATAATGATTAGTGTAGCTTTGATTCATCTGATGGTATTAGAGAGGAGTGTTTTATCGTTTTCCCCACTTTTTTCCCTGCAGAATATAACACGTACAAAATATGATAATCTGTTTTATCTTGATAACAAACTATTCATCAACTGAATGAAATAATACAGAATGAATCTAGAAGAAAAAAAAAATCTTTCCATTGTCGCTCTTCAGTCAATGTATATACATTATAATGTGGAAAAGTGGTGATGATAATAATAATAATGAAGATGTGTCATTTAGATGAGTACGGACGACCACTACGTTGAAAAGACGCCAAAGAAAAAAGGATTAACATTGATAGTATACTTTTTAATCCATGACTGCTACAAGAAAACGCATCCGCTATGGAATCTTTTGTCTTCATCAACATATTTTCGTTAAACCAATAGGATCAATCCCAATGATTATTGTCGGTAGCTTTTTGAGGGAAGCAGCCGATTTTTCAAAGAAAGTATATTATTCATTTTTTCTGAAGGACAATAACCCATCAAAATGATATATATTTGCTTGTTTAAATGAAAATTCCGGACTACAACATGAACAAAGAAAATAACTTTTAAACCTTCCGTTTCATATTACCGTATATACAAAGCTATAAGCTTTACAATTCAAAATCCTTAATGATTTGATCCCTACCAAAGTTACATATACAGAGTGTTCCTTATGTAAAAGGTCACCGAAACCTTGGTACACCGTTTCTTTTCCTGACATTCTGGAATGAACTCAGCATCTTTTTTGCAGAATTTAATATTTCAGCCTATTTAATAGAAATACGTGTTCGTCGGGTATTTATGAGATTCGTAGGTCTAAAAAAAAAATCTATCTCTCGAACCTTCTGCTGCTGTTAGGTAAACAATATATTTTCAGATGTCGGTGCGGCTATACAAAACCTACTTTCAGTCACTTAAGTAATTTTGTTGTCGTTCGAATCTGCCGGACATTACATTGTACAAAGAAAAAAAAAATTAGTCATCCATGCTAGCATAAGTTTGAATAGCATAAAGGGTCAGTAGGAATGAAAGGTTGCGTTTTATATTTTGTCTGTCATTTGGCGAGGTACCTGCTCTTTGAAGAAGAAAAAAAAGTTATGATGAGCATTGTTTATCTCTGGTTGTCTCTTGTATTGCTTGTAATTATCTAGGCGTCAGCCTAATACAGTTATATACAACAATGTATAAAACGAAAATATTGCAAATAATTGTCACGGCATTTCATTAAATATCGATCAGTCTAGGTGTTAAAACAAATCAGTAAACATGTACAATTGATACTTTTTACATTGTTATGGTGCACTAGTCATGAGTGGTACTATAAACATGAATGTATTTAGTCTCTTAATTTATTTTTAGTGACTGGGAATTCCCGCTAACCTTTGGCAGACAACCAAATTAAAGGGGAAGTCCACCCTGAAATTAAGTTAGTTTTAATAGGAGTAGAAAAATGAGAGAAACAAGTCAGTGAAAGTTTGAGCAAATTCCGATTAAAAATAAGGAAGTTAGGATTTTTGAAGTTGTGATCAATCAAACACAAATTGGCAACTCTATGACGTATCATGCGAGCTCAACCTCCATTTGCTCAGTACTAAAAAAATCTAAAATTTTCATTTTCCCTCAAGAAAAATTTCAACCATACATGCACCCTAAATATAATAATTGCAAATATGTTTCTATACTCCCCCTGCAAGGAACAGATATATATTCCGTCATCAATAACGAAGAAAACATGATTTTATGGAATATTATGCACAAAGCAAATGAAGGAGAGCTCGTATAATAAGTCACAGAGTTGCCAATTTGTATTTGATTGATCACAACTTCAATAATTCATAACTTTCTTATTTTCATTCATAATTTGCTGAAACTTTCACTCACCTGATTTTCTTATTATTCTGCCTCTATCGAAACAAACTTATTTTGGGGGTGGACTTTCCCTTTAAGATCGCACAATAAAACCTCGATCTAAGATTTGTTAATCACCATGAAGCGGCACTTAACTGGAAGAAGAAGAAGTTGAAATGTTTACCATGTGTATTCATATCTACCCAATTAACATGTAATAATAATAGTTAAATACACATTTTTCATATTTCTAATCACAATAACATACCAAAATCGTCACACCACGATAGGATCACAAGTTTTCTAATGCGACAGACGTTACTTCCTACATACATACATACATATTGGTATTTATTGAGCGCCTTTACATGAACATGCTCAAGGCGCTTCCGGGTTCATGATCAAGTATTATGATTTTATAAACCAGATAAAAACATAGCCTCAAAGTTTTCGGGAGTCTGCCTGAAATAGTATCTATACGCCAATGTAAAATAGAAATATTCAAAGATTTAACCGAATTACTTTTAGTAATGACAGAGACATATTAATTCACTCACCTCTTTATCTGTAACTACGTATCGGTCTAGGTGTTTTCATATAAAATCAGTAAACATGACTGCTCTTTGCCTTTACAATGGACTGGTACACTGATCATAAACAGTGCTTTATACATGTATATATTCAGTTTGTCAATCTATTTTTAGGTACTGGGAAAACCTAACAACCTTTGACAGTACAGACGAGCAGATTGAGTTTTCAATTGTCCAAAAAGTAATCGCCCAATAAAAACTCGACCTCGGAGATGGCGCTAAACATGCTAAACACATCCGGAAAAAAGAACAGCTAAAAAGATATTTAATCTTAGATGTCTAAATTTATTGGACTATTCATCATGATCTAGTTTAGAGAGCTAATAGGTTGTTCGATTTATTACAGTTTTAGCTTGTTTACGGTATGTTTTGCCATAATTTCATAGGCCTACTAGACATGGGGGTAATGGTGCTGCGCCCACCCCCCCCCCCGCATTTTAAAATGTCATATTATGTATTCGGGCAATGGCACATTGATTCTGGCGGTTGCGTACTATTCCAACAGCCTATTATCCTATTTATATGTTCATATTTTAGTTGTATGTCCTGATATATTATTTTTTTAAAACAGGTCAGTTTTAATGCAGAGTAACCTTTTTTTCTTCATTCCTTCATTATTTTTCACGTCAACAAAATGAAAATTCTCAAGTGAAAACAAATGTAAATACATTATGTCAAAATCCATTTTAAGAGCGTGTCAAAGGACAAGTCCATTCCAAAAATAACTTACTTTCAATAGAAGCAAAAACATTTTGAGCAATATCGGATAACTAATAAGAAAGTTATGAATTTTGAAAAAGTATGTAAAACTATGGAACTACCCCCAGACAACTACCCCCTACAGCAACCATCTTCTAGGACAACTAACCCCACGGACAACTATGGTATCAACGTAGCCATTATAGAAACAGGATTCTTTAAGACACTGATATCAAGTAAAAACAAATCTTCACAAATAATCTAGACAAGGCCTGGCATAAAATCGGAATACATAGAAGAGGGCTTCCAAAAGTGTACGTTTCTACTGGAGGAAAGGTTTTTATTAAAGAGGAAGTCCACCCTGATATGAATTTGGATTTAAAAGAAGCAGAAAATGAGAGGAACAGGCCAGTGGAAGTACGCGTGTTATGTGCTTAAAACATAGTACGTAACATCTATTGTTAGGGATTTATGTTCTTGTTATAACAATGTTTAACTTCTAATTCATTGTTGGATGTGTTACGCGAATAGAAATTCAAATTTAATTTTATTCTTAATAAAGATGCATATCGGGTTTTCTTGCTTGAAATAATATATATATAATATTTAAAGTTCCTAATTTCCTTTATGCTAAATAACAAGGAAAAGTTAATTTTCTTAAGCCTGCATGTCATTACCCTCCTAATACTGCGACGTGATGCAGTAAAAATTGCACATATTTGGGCAGTCTGGTGTAGCTTTGAAGTTCCTTTCACCATGCATCTAGAAATGGAAAGAAGTTTCCGAAATAATACAACTCCGGAGATGACGTGCGTCAAAGTGCCACCCAATCTAACAAAAAATAAGCAAATATTCAATAATATGAGAAGTATTCCACTTTAGATCTCGAAATGTTGAGAAGCTCTAGAAATAATGTAGGCCCGGAGATGGAGACAGTACTGGCATTTGATATGTCGTAAAATGAGTGAAAATGATGAACACCCGATCGTAGATGAGACGAGAAAAACCACACAAAACACCTTGACGCCATGCAGAGTGATGCCAATCTCAACTCCGGTCTATATCCGATGCACTTCCGATCAACCAACCGCTTTCGAGTGGTGGTAGAGCGGGGGTGGTATGGGGCAGGTGACTTTTCGGTCACGAACTATACATAGTAGCATGGAAACGCTCAATTACTCTGCTCGCGTATTCTACTTTTGTGTTGTTTTGGTTTGCTTCATTTTTAATTCACACCACCGATTTCGTCGGCGGACATATTAATATGCTCAGTTCAATTAAGATGAAATGTGTGTGTGTGTTTGTATGTGTATGTCTGTGTGTGCGTGGGGGGGGGGGGGCATCGTCTCTTGCCCGAAAATAGAAGTCAATATCATTTCTACACCAACTTACAAGCTCATGAACATTTTTTGCAAAGAGATATTGCTACTTTCCTCCCGTAATTATGATTATCATGAATGTAACCAATATCCACATAAACATCCACGTCAGAGGCAGCATGAGATTGTACCGATTACAATAATTAGAGAGTGAGACAAATTTAATTTTTCTACATTATATCTACCCCTTTTCAGTCATCGAATCATTATTATATTTATCATCACCGTCGTCATTAACATCATCATCAACACCACCACCATCATCATCATCATTATTATCGTCATTATTATCCTCATTATCACCACCATTATTATCGTCATTATCATCATCATTATCACCATCATCCTCATCATCATCATCACCATCATCATCATCATCATCATCTTCATCATTACCATCACCGTTGTCATAGTCGCCGTTATTAAACAATAAAGACTGTTTTATGAATTGTATGATACATTGTACCTTATAACATTATCTCCCCTCTCTCTCCTCTCTCTTTCTCTCTTTGTTTTTCTCTCTCTGCATTCTTTGTTAGGTATCATCCTCTTCTTTTGTTGGTCTTTCTTGTTGTTGTTGTTGTTGTTGTTTTTGTTGTTGTACTTCTTGTTCTTGTTCTTGTTCTTGTTCTTCTTCTTCTGTTGACTCTGCCTCCTTCACTCCTGAAGATTTAGGCAGATGTCTGTCCCTGGAAGCATCCCCTTTCCATGGAAACGCCTCTTACCACTACACAATCATAACAGTCGTCCATGAACAATGATATTGCAGGCTAAATAGAGCATGGTTGCTTTCCCAAACCGTGCATTATTGGATCAATTTTAATACTGGACTGTACTGACTGCCATTAAAAAAAGACGATTCATTCACAATTAAAAGTAACAATAAGGTTGAGCACTTGAACTGGTATTGCGATTAAATTGAAAATTAAACTGTCTGAACACAATTATGAAAGTCCGATTATCTAGTGCATCATGAATTTTAAACTGTGAAGATTTGGAATGATCTAAATGGACAGAAACTGACCCAATCTGGCTGAAAATCTCGAGCACTGCACGCAGAAATTTGTACATGGGACTATACACAGATGTTTGGTCCAAATACTTCAGCTAGTTTTAATCATATCATTTCGAATATCAGGGCATTTAAAGAGCAATTCTTTACAGGGGATAACTATAATTTTCTTTAATCCTGATATACAAAGCATGATTATGCTGATAATTATTTTTTTAAATCTTGTTCCTTGTTAACTGGAATGTCTCGGAAGGGGCTTCTATGACTACAGGTCTGTATGACTATCGGCATGTCTTGGACTATTCCTTGCAATGTACCCACCCCGGACGATTACATCCATGTTCTACTGACACCCGGACAACTTACTGCTATCCGTCCCTGCTCGCTGTCCTTTATGGCTACCCATTCACTCACTACCACCATTCCCATAAAGGGTAACAATAATGTATTGTTATAGGTACAGGGGTGCATGGATCATGGTAGTTGTCTAGTTAGTAATATTTTTCAAAATAATTTTTCCCACTGTAGACTTAGCGTTGATGTTGTTGATGTTGTTCGGATTGTATTTGGTATTTTGTCCGTCAGGGGATGAACGCCCTAGACTCGCTTTCGGAGAAAGATCTGGAAAGAAAATTAATGTCATAAAGGGGTTGTGCACAACTCATGTCACTATGCTTAAACAAAGAGTGGAGAGTATGAACGGGCTTCTACGAGCAGAATATAACATAATACCACTCCCGGAAGATATCGTAATTATGAGAGAGTAGAGGAAGGACATCGAAACTTGAATGTCATATAAACGTGAACGTGAAGGAAGAGGTAGAGAGAGAGAGAGAGAGAGAGAGAGAGAGGGGGAATTGAAGGTGAGGGACAGAGAAAGAGAAAATGAGATAGATAAAAAGAGAGAGATATATACATTATATATATGGAAAGAGAGAGAGAGAGAGAGACATGTGGGGAAAGATAGAAGGGGGGGGGGGGTAGTTTTGAAAAAATATTTAACCATCTCAACAATTATTTATATTTTTTATATCCGATAATGAAGATCGACTGCATAATACGCTCAACTAACCAGTGACGTAAGATGGGTTGCACGGGGCACGTGCCACCACCTCCTGCTCTATCGATTGACGAAGGGAGAATAATGTGAATGAGAGAAGGACAGTGAGAAAGACAAAAATGAAAAGAAGATGAAAGCAGCCAACTCTCGAATACATATCACTCTTTCTATTGTCTTGTTCTCAAGCATGTTATCCATCTAGCAGTTCTGTTTTCAGACCGCAAATGCTTTCAAAGTGCATGGTTGTTGCTCTTATTCTTATCTATGACATTTCTAGTGCCCTTTTAGAACCTAAAATTGCTATGAAGGTAATTTTAGACCCCACAATGTGTGAAATTTAGCCAATACGATCATACCAATTCAGCTCCACTTTCCCCAAAATGCGGTGACCGTTAATTAATTATTTAATTAAAAATAACAATACATGGGACAGAACTCAACTTTCCCTTTAATTGGCCTCATGCTACGCCACTGCAACTAACCATTCATCGTCCATCTACAATACAATGATCAAGTGTTAGAATCGATTCAAGATGGCTCAATAAAACTATGAGAGGATGTGTAAGAATGAAAAGTGAAATATTCTGTGAATGCTTAGAGCGTGAGCTATTATGGTTCATGATGGCCTAAAAATATGACGATTTTAGAAATAGTATGTTTATAATGGTAATTAACTGTAACCGAAAGTGAATTCGAGTACTGTTTAGGTCACCTGATTTCCGCCTCCCACCCCCCCCCCCTTAGTCATCAAATACACAGCAATGTAATAAAGTGCCGACTGAACTTTGTGAATCTATTTTTTTCTTCATGTTTTCAAAGGTGATATGTCATTTATGGCTCACTATAGCCTAAAACGAGAAATGTTTTTAGATTCTGCAGTAGTATGTTTGTAATGGTAATTAACTGTACCAAAAGTGAACTCGAGTACTGTCTTAGTCACCTGATTTCCGCCATTGCTTCCTTTTATCATCAAATACATAGCAACTAAAAAAAGTGGCCGCCTGAGCTTCCTGAATCTGATACATTTGATCCTTTCAAAGGTGATAACGTCATGTATTTGCAATTATGTCTTGGATACATTGGAAAATTGAAAAGTTACAGCGTGGTTTTTTTTGGCGTGAGAAAGTGTTATTTCTGGAAATTAAAAGTCATTTTCTGCATCCAAGTGAATAAAGTCAACAAGAAATGAAACTCATTTCATCATTTTTTCATTCCCTTCTGTTTCAACAGGGTGACCACAGTGATTCGCCTGTAATTATCGAATGTATTCTAATTGGTTTTTTTTTTAAAGCAAAGGGGCTCACTAATTATTGCACGCGTGTTATGTATGTTGTTAGGGATTTATGTTCTTGTTATAACAAGAAGTTACCTCTTGGTTATAATAATGTTTAATTTTTAATTCATTGTTGGCTGTGTAACGCAAATAGGCAAGTTCTAACAATTCAAGTTTAATTTTATTCTTGATAAAGAAGCATATCGGGTTTTTTTGCTTGAACTAATGTAATATTTGAAGTTTCTTATTTCCTTTATGCTAAAGAATATGGAAAAGTTAATTTTCTTAAGCCTACCTGTCATTACCGTCCTAATACTGCGACATAATGCAGTGAAAATTGCACATATTTTGGGCATTTTGGTTTAGCTGTGAAGGTCACCAAATCACCGCTCTTTTGAACTTAAACACGCCTTGAATACTATCAATCAATCAATCAATCAATCTATAACCAATCGCTTCAGTTCAATAGACAGGTTTACTAACATATTCAAATTTATGGATGTAGGGACATAGTGACGAAGTAAACCATTTATCTCAGTGTTATTAATGAATAAATTTCAATACTTAGAATCTAGTATGCATACATTATTTGTTGCTATGTCGGGGAAGTCTCGGACAAGCATATAGGTTGTCAAGAACAACCAGTTTGTTTCAAAAGTATGCATACAATTTGAATATGTTATTAAACCGGTCTATTCAATTCGAAGAAACCCACTCCCTCACTCAATCAACCGATCAGTCAATGAATGAACTTACTAATCAATTACTAAACAATCAATTTTGCAATCAATAAACTAGTCCATCAATCACGCACTCACTCACTCACTCACTCAACCAATCAGTCAATGAATGAACTAACCAATCAATTACTGAAACAATCAATTTTGCAATCAATAAACTAGTCAACAAAAACCCATCGACCTACACGGTAGATCAACCAACTACTGCTCACAAGACCGACAGTCCACAAGACCGACCGCCCACAAGACCGACCGCCCACAAGACCTACCACCCAACAAGAACGACCACCCACAAGACCGACCACCCACAAGACCGACCGCCCACAAGACCGACCGACCGCCCACAAGTCCGACCTTCCACAACACCGACAGCCCACAAGTCCGACCTTCCACAACCTCGACACCCCCAACACCGACAGCCCACAACACTGACAGCCCACAAGACCGACCGCCCACAACACCGACAGCCCATAAGACCGACCGCCCACAAGACCGACCGCCCACAACACTGACAGCCCACAACACAGACAGCCCATAAGACCGACCGCCCAGAAGACCGACCGCCCATAAGACATACATGATGAGGGTCCATCGGCCTGACCTTGTCGGTCTTGTTTGCTGACGGTCTACTTCGATGTTTGGCAACTGACCGATTCTCAATCGATCTTTAAATCATTCAGTCAGTCCATCAATCAATCGATTAATCACTCACTCACTCCTTCACCCATTCATTCACTCAATCAATCAGTCAATTAGTCACTCACTCAATTAAATAATCACTCACTCAATCAAGCAATCAATGATCGAGTCAATCACTCAATCAATCATAACTTTAATCAGATCAAATTTCCAGAAAACAATAAAATGATCTAGTACGGAGAAAGATTCAAAATCGTGCTTAATTTTGAAGAAGATGACTCACAATAACAAATAAATCTTTCTAAGAAACAGGAGTACATTTCACATATAACAGTGGCACAACTATGTTGCACAAGCTCCCTCTCGAGTTAAAACTTCTGGCCGTTTTTACTTTTTGCACACGTGCCCCCACCCCTCCCCCCCCCCCCCGCTATCAAATGTGATAAATTAATTTTTAAGGGACGAACGTCAGATAATTTGATTTGTGTTCCCCCCCCCCCTCTGAAAATCATCCTGTATAAACCACAAAGTTGATATCGTATTTTGCAAATACATGTCAATGTTTTATTAATAATTACAGTCTTGTTTCAATTCAATTCATTTCACTATTGCAATAAAAACTAACATACGTACATGTACATGGAATTAAACATTGTTACATACAAATAATAGAATACATGTATATACATTGGAACAAAAATATCAAAGTTGCTTGGCAGGTAGCAGCCAGAAAAGAAATGACCCTTGTATAAATGGCCGACATGAAGAATGATATGTACCAGATTATAATGACATAACAATTGAAAACGCAACATTTCCTACCACAAAAAATACACATCACAGCTAATGACATAATATAACAGATCAATCAAAACTAAAAAGAAAAAAAAAAAGATTAATGTTTTGCAAGAATAACTTTAAGTTGACTTAATACAAAAATAACTTTTATGTTTGTTTAGTTCATTACTTTGAAATCTGGGTTAATCATTGCCTTGGTTCGAAGCCGAGTTGGTAAACCCCTTGAAATATCTTTCTTAACAGACGTATTCTGTTACTGTTGATAGAATAGCAAAACGTGACGGAAAACCGGAGTTATTATCCCCCCCCCCCCCCAGACACTCAGACTTCTCTTCTGTGCACAGATGAAACGAAACATGTGTCAGGCCTGCGTTTGACGAAATCGTCAACATTTAAAATTCATCGAAAGCGAGGATATTATAATTAACACGCGTTTTAAGGAGATGTCGCTGAACTTATACTTATGACGGTTTCCTGGAACGGTGCCCAGACCGACCAGAGACCGATCACGAAATTACATTTATACACAGAATGGAAAAAAAATAGTCGATTTGGAAAGGTTTTATATGGGGGCAAAATAACATAGGGCGTCCTCAAAGGGCCACCGTTTGTAACTGTAGAGAGGAAAACGAGTTTATTATTGAAAATAAAAATTAACTGCCAGTTATCGATGTCCACTCCTTAATGCTAACCAAAAGTTAAAATAAAGCAATCAGCATTGCATAATTATCTTTGTGTTTAGCGATTTCAGTTCTCCAAAAGTCTTCAGATGCTTTAAGAATCAAATACATGTACAATGAAAAACGTCATGATCATTATAGCATCTTACATATTTATATTTGTGTAAGATTAAGCATGAGCAGTTACACGAGTAGAAAGGTAAAGGAAATACATAATCTGACAAAGCAAATTGCTGGGTGATGTTTGATAAAATCTTTAGTACAAAGCTGTAAATCACACTTTTCAGAATAACAAAAACACAACTTATATTTTTCCATTTTCATGGGTTTAGATAGGATTGACACAAATGTGAACTAAACAGAATGGAAACAAAAAAGCGAAATATCTAAAAAAAACTAAATTAGTCGGGTATCCAGAAAAGTTCCAAGCCATTTCTTCCAAATACTTTGCCAGACATAGAAAACAGAAAACAACATATCAAAGTGAAAACTTAAACCCTTTTTTTGCATTTGCTTTTACAATACTTTTGCAACTTACATCATACAATCAAAAGGTCTACTTTCATAAGTCTTAAACTCTTTAGTACACAACTAGAGAAATTGTAAGAATTATAAATTAATATGAAAAAATTGCATTTCCTCTCATAATTTCGGGTAAAATATTAAAAATAGATTGAATAATCGGACAATGATCTGAAATGCATTGTAGAAACTAAAGGATAAATAGTCTTACTAAGATGATTATGTCCTACTGTAAAAAATACATCATGTATACATTTATAACAGCTACCACAAACGTCACATTCATATATACAGTCGTCATCAACAACAAAATGTTGAAAGATATACATATGAGAAGTATATTGAAAGAAAGATTATTTGTATAGAAAGGTTCAATCATTCAATTTGATCTACGTGATCTAGGAATATCATTTCTAAAAAATGTATTCACCTAAACTCCCATTTCATCTAGTTCAAAATAAAACTGATTCTACTGGATGTTATATAAACTTATTTGATGAAGTCACAGAAACAGGTCTGTTCGAAGGTTTTAAAAAAGGGGGCGGGGGTGGGTCCATTTTCAACGAAATATCATGTTACTCTAATTTGTTTAGCGTGCCCGTTTTGACCAGAAAAAAGGGGTCTAGTCGCACACATCGCACCACCCCCCCCCCCCCCCCCCTCCTCCGTCTTCATACGGGCCTGAAGACAGTGGTATCATACAATGCAAGAAATAGGGAGTCATCCATTATTTTCAGTGGAATATATGCAGTCTATCAGGAGTGCAGAAAGCGATCTCTCCTGATCGGTACTGACGGAGATAGTACCAATTCCCTTTGTGCTTTTCAATCTTGTAATCAATGATAAGGCTCTGGACATGCTTCAGCTCGTTAGTGTACTCATCAATGCTGATCAAACCTACATTGTGCTTCACGTTGGCTATCAGGACTGTATTCCATTGAGACACAGCGGCATGTAGATTACCACCTATTCCCGTCAATTTATATTTTACAACACCTTGTTTGTCAATCAATCGTATTGTATTACCAGATGTGGTAATCAGGTAATCATTATAACTAGAAATCTGCTGAGGTGTATAACCATTACATGGTATCTCCCTGATCGCATTCCCACCTGCTGGTGAGAATACCTGGATCTTCTTTGCTTTCTTGTAGCTAACATAGATTTGATCATTACCGTCTACAGTGAGGTCACTAAATCCTCCTTCATTGCGACTCAGAGTCTCAAACATTACATTCAACTTTGTGTACTCTAGTGTGTACAGCGTGACATAGTTTGAGTGATCAAGTATGACATACCGATCATCAGAGAGGAATCCCAATCCACGAATCACCACTTGTTTGAAAACTTTCTGTTGGATCTTGCCATCAGCAGAGAAGATATCCACGCCACTTGTACTATATCCCACTGCCATCCTACCGTCTGGTGTACTAACCATGGCATTCATTCTATTCTCAGCAGGCAAAGCGATGTTATTTGCAACTGCATTTACGATCTTACCGAGAGTTAGCTCGTCCATTCCAACGTTTCTCATAAAAGTGACGCTTTCCCCTTTCTTGCTCGATTGCATCGGCTGCTTGTAGTCAGGATCTTCTTGTTTCAAGGCCTCTTGTAAGTCATGACATAGAATGTCGTGTGCAGCCAAAGCATCCATATCTAACGGTATCTTTGTCCTATTGGTTACCACGTCAGCTATAGTAGTCAAGTGAGTGATGCGCTTCTGAGCTGATTTCTTCATTTCGTCCAGTTCCTTCTCTACTTCTTCGGTCTTGACCTTCACTTCACCAATGAGGATTTCTTTCTTCTTTGTTAACTGCCGGACTGATTCTTCAAATGCTTTGTTGATATCATCTGTACACTGCTTCTGAACATTGCTCACACGCTCCTTCTGTTTATCAATGAAATCTACATATTTCTGAAAGCAAGAGCGTCTCTTGTCCGCCTTGGATTTGAGGTCCTCGATGCTCTTCATATGGCTGCGTTCATAAACAGCTGCCTCGATGATCCGATGTCCTTCGTCTTTATGCTCCATGACAACACACCTGAAGCAGGCAAATCTCCTGCAGTCGGAACAGAAGCACTCCTCATCCTCTTTTGGGTGTTTCCTGCATTTACAATACCTACGTACTGACACCTTCCCTGATTCGATCTCACTCATGGCTAAGACCTCATGACTGATGAAGTCTTGCCACAGAGAGTGTGTGTTGTGACAAGTGATACAGAGATACTTGCCACAGTCTTGACAGTAGACAACAGCTTGCGGCTTGTCCTTGGATTTGCAAATCGAGCAAAACTGATGTTGATTCTTCACGTCCTCTATGAGAGACTTCAAAGCTAGATTTGCAGGTAATTTGCGGACATCTTGGTTTGGGACCTGGGTTTCAGCTCTGCAGACAGGGCATCGGAGCATCTGGTCGTTACCATGGCATTCCAAGAGGTTGTCCAGACAGGCCTTGCAGTAGGTGTGAGAACAAGACAGGATCCTCGGATCGGTGAAGGTATTCAGACAAACAGGACACTCCAGACTCTGAGCAATGACATTCTTTAATGCATCAGCCATGATTCGAATTCTACATGAATACGGGATAAAAGAAAAAGACAAAAACATAATGATTATTATAGCTTTGATTCATATGACGGTTTCTCTTTCCTGCAGAATATAACGCGCACAAAGAATCTTGATAACAAATTATTCATGTTATTCATCAACTAAATGAAGTAATAAAAACTGAAAAAAAAACCCCTCTTTCCATTGTCGGTCTTCAGTCAATGTACATTGTAATTGGGAAAATGACGATGATAATAATGATAATGTAACTGTGTCACATCCGTAGATGAGTACGGAAAGACCACCACATTGGAAAGACGCCAAAGAAAAAGGATTAACATTTGTAGTATA